ATTAATAACATTTGCTCTTATTCATTAAATCATTGACTTCACTACTTCCATAATTCAGTCAACTAAAAGATTACTTCCTATTTATTTCTGCAAGTCATATCAGATCGTATCTTGAAAATATTATACTTGAAAACATTGGGATATAGAATTGATATCTTGGAGGAGCGTGACATATATATAGAGATTACCGGGCCGCAGGTCCCGAGGGACAATATATATTATATTGGCCAAGGGCAGCGCTTGCATTAGGTTAGAAAATTTGTGAGTCCCAAGGACGCAATTTTTTTTAAAAAGTGTGTCCTTTGAAAAAAAGGTGTGTCCCCTGTTTCCCATTCGGGAATGTATGTTCTAACCTTACTTGTCATATTTTCAGTTTTTGATTTCTTGCCGCGAATTTAAAACGGAAGTAAACGTTAAGTACGGACTGAATAAATGCATGTTCGTTCATTCGACAATGAATACATTTTATTTCATGAATAACCTAATATTTGTTTCTGAATTGGAAAAACTGTGGCGTGTCATGGTTTCGAATCTAAAAATAAACAAAGTCGAAAAAATTCGAGAGAATCATGATTATTTGTCAATATTTAACATGTTGAGCCTTATTTACGATTCAAATAAAGGTGAGAGATCATAATTATTTGTTTTTGTTAGGTATCGTTGTAAACACATTGTAGTATTGACTTAAAAAAATTTTGCGTCCAAAAAACGGAAATATTTTCAATTTCTGCGTCCTCCAAATTATTTATTACATGTACGGGACGCCGTTAATGCAAGCCCTGCAAGGGATAATCCCAATATCCCGAACCTCATATAGGATAATATGTTTATCCCATACCAATCTTGGTCATCTGGTTCACATTGTTCAATCATGGAAATATTTTAGAATATTCATGTCCAGTTTTGTTTTCTTGGCCGTGGGCGGATTTTCCTGTTCTCTCAAATATTCCCAATATACGTCCAAGTAGGGGATAAACATGTATATATATTTCAATGAATATTTCCCGCTGCGTATCTCCCGATCCAAATGTTCCCGGGAAAATGTTTTTTATTCAGTGTAGAAACAGTCAATTTGTTAAAATATCTTACTAAAGCAAAACTGTCAAAATAAATCCAGCAGACCGTAGAATTTTTCTTAACCAAAATGATGATGGATTTCTCGAAAATAATGAGAATGAGAACGCTTAATAGAAAACAAACATGGATATTGGTGTCCTGATTTCACTTGTGTCATTGGATAAATTATAGTTATGCGATGATCCGTTTTGAATAATGATCACTGGAAATATTTCAGAGAACGAATGTATATGATGGCGAATAAATACCAAAAGTTAACGCTTTGTGCGAATGTCACTCATGGTGAATTTCTGATGGAACTTCTTACTTCGACATAATAACCATTTAACAGGATAACTATCAGATAATTTAACCGAGTTGTTTGTAACTTCACAATTTACATTTTTGTTTACAATCGCACGAGACATGTGATCCCAGGTATGTGAGGCTGATCTGAGAAGTCTTAATATACAATATTTCTGTCAAAAAATGATTAAATTAAATTACATAATTTCGGAACAAAAGTGCCCCATCCATATTTCATATTTGATTAAAAATAATTAGTGCGTTGGGCAAATAGAATCCTTTTTATTGCAGTTAATTCAAAATATTCCTATGCTGGCTGTACTAATTCTTCAAAACTTTCCATTATTGATGTCATTGATTTGACTCGTTTGCATACAACCAATCAGCGCGCCGGAAATTATCGATTTTCTTTACTTTGTGGAAAGGTGAATACTTGTTAGATTGATGGTATATCATAATATTAGACTATATCCTATTTAATAATTCAGACTTAAAGGCACCTATGTTAAAGTTTGGTAAAATCAAAATATTTGTTTACATAAGAAGTGCTATTCAAAATGGCCGATTGGGTAAAATTAATTTGCATATCTGTTACTTTTCTGATGGAACTTCTTACTTCGACATAATAACCATTTAACAGGATAACTATCAGATAATTTAACCGAGTTGTTTGTAACTTCACAATTTACATTTTTGTTTACAATCGCACGAGACATGTGATCCCAGGTATGTGAGGCTGATCTGAGAAGTCTTAATATACAATATTTCTGTCAAAAAATGATTAAATTAAATTACATAATTTCGGAACGAAAGTGCCCCATCCATATTTCATATTTGATTAAAAATAATTAGTGCGTTGGGCAAATAGAATCCTTTTTATTGCAGTTAATTCAAAATATTCCTATGCTGGCTGTACTAATTCTTCAAAACTTTCCATTATTGATATCATTGATTTGACTCGTTTGCATACAACCAATCAGCGCGCCGGAAATTATCGATTTTCTTTACTTTGTGGAAAGGTGAATACTTGTTAGATTGATGGTATATCATAATATTAGACTATATCCTATTTAATAATTCAGACTTAAAGGCACCTATGTTAAAGTTTGGTAAAATCAAAATATTTGTTTACATAAGAAGTGCTATTCAAAATGGCCGATTGGGTAAAATTAATTTGCATATCTGTTACTTTAACTAGCTTTATTTCCACTTGACAATATGCTGTGTTACTTTATAATTGTTTATATTGCATTAATTGTACCTTACTATTTAATAGACATTTTGTAATGTTTATTTTTTGGAAGAAATGGTTCCTCTAATTGATAATTTTGTGCAAAAAAATTCACTGCAATTTCCACAGGAAAATAGTACATCATAACAGACTGACTTCTAGTCAGTCTGTTGGATACATACTAATCATAATATGGTATCCTGAAGTAATGATACTGGATCCTGACACCCCTGCATATCAATAACCCCAAATATAATTGATTTATAAGTGTCATCTATTTATTTTAAGGCATAGGGTTTGTGGGGGTAATTCCAAACACTAGCATGGAGGTAATTCCGAACACCTAAATCTTACTCACTTCGAGAGCCATGTTAGATTTTGAAACTTATGGCTCTCAAACGGGGAAGTGAACAGCTGATTAATAGTGACCTTTGAAATCGAATTAAGTCGATCCGCGGCTTACTTTTGGTCTCTAACTGTGTCTTACATCAGTATCATCAATCCTTGTAAGTATTGGAGCGCTGAAGTACTTCCTTTTCGATCAAGACTTGTAATTGTTAGTCGAGTGAATCGTTTTACTGCCAAATTCCAATATGGCGTTTTCTGCTCGGACATTTTCGTAAACCTCCGGAGGTTGTCCGAACCTAACTAATTCTCAAAATTCATTTCGCTCGTTGCGTATCTCGCTCCTAGCAAACAGCCATATTGGAAATAGGTCTAAAAAACATTCACTCGATGAACAATTTACAAGTCTTGATCGAAAAAGAAGTATTTCAGCGCTCTAATACTTACACGGATTGATGATACTGATGTAAGACACAGTTAGAGACCAAAAGTAAGCCGCGGATCGACTTAATTCGATTTCAAAGGTCACAATCATTCAGCTGTCCAAATGCTTCGTGGGAAAGCTATTATATCAAAATCCAAATAGCTTTCGCAAGAAGTAAACTAAATCATCATAATTGATTATTTTATCATAAGAGTGTTGGTATATATCATTATATGGTATCTTTCAGGATATAAATGTTATATAGAGGTAGTAGAGGGGCTATTATTCAATTCAATGATTTGCTTGCCATTGTTTGCTTCGGGTTTACCCCCCTGTTTGGATTTAGACGTATTGACTCTAGATCTAGTCTACTCGAGTCTCTAGCCAATTCTTGGCTATAGGTAATTTCATCTGGAATACTGTTAACTGAACTTAACTCCATTTGAAAAAAGCTGGCTGGCGTATCATAAATTTATTGAATATTTTAAAAATCGCCAGATAAATAAATCATTAATTATGCGACCGGCTCGGCTCCTTGATGAGATATTGCATGATTTCGTCAGAATTTCGTATAAAATAAAACAAATGGCTCCAAGAAAAATGGCGATATTCGAAAACTGGACGAAATTTCTTTAATGTCTGACATTAGTAATTGGCTGTAAATTCTAAGTTAGCGATCCAGGAGATGTAAACTAATACATTGATCACTTCATGTGTGTTGTGGAATTTTTGGTGAGGTAATAAGACCAAAACTCGCAATTCAAATTGTGATGTGGAAAAATGGCGGACATTTGATTTCAAATTTTATGATTACGACATGACCCGTTATACATGCAGGAATTTATCTTTGGATGAAGGCCACAATACAGTGGCCTTAGAAGAAGGTAAGAAAATAACATTTTTGGAAAAAATTGCTATACCTGCACATGTTATTTTCTTGTACAAAATAAAGTATGAAGGCATGTGTTAATTTCCTTGCTTTTTTCAGGAAAGTATCATTACATTGTTTTCTTTCAGTACGGGTGGTATACAAAGTAGAAGATGGTGATAGATCTTGCACTAAATTAATTTCAGTTGTTCTGGAATCACGGAAGCACCATTCACATTTGGACAGACAAGAGCCTGCCGATAAAATATCACTAATTTGGCCTCTTATCAACGCAGGATTGCTTGAATACTGTTCATTAGTGATAAGAAAGGTTCATTCAAAGTGGCCGCCTTTTTTCAATTTTCCAAATTTCTAGAAGTTCCTCAATAACACTGAATTTCTATTGACCACTTACAAGGTTTACTTAGCGAAGACAATGTAATGACTTTTGTAAAATGTACAAAAAACGAGAACATTCACTCACCAGTCTTTTTGAGGTTCATTAGTGCACTCTTTGTGCAAAACTGAAAGATGTAAACAATGTGGGGAAGAAGTGATTCCTATTTGAAAAATAACATGTGACTCAATTGAGGAATGCAGCAAAATTCCGAACATGCAGACTTACCTAAGGTGTCATGGTACTGAACAGGAAATGACAAAACAGAAAGTTTTAGAAAGTTATCTACGTAATGATGATGGATCTTCTTAACAAATTTTGATATTTGGAATAATTTATTTTTATTGATTACACATGTACTTTGTTATTTCAGAGATGATGAAGAAGCACAAAAAGAGGCAGCTCTGGCAGCAATCAAAGCAATGCCAAAGAAACAAATGTCTCTCAACCCATTTACAGGTAAAATATGCTAAAAAAGAGCAAATGATTCTATTCTAAAGCAACAATAAGTCTTGCCAAGACCAGGCGCCATTAGTTCTGCATTTACAATTCATGGCAGAGTTCTCACTTGGCTTTTAAACTCCAGAGATTCTCTTGAATCAAATGTTTTTAGACCCTCTTGCTTGCTCCAGAGTCTAATAGCTTTTCCGGTGTCTAAAGTGTTTTTTCCGGAGTTTGCTTTTACATTTTTGTCACATTATTTATGCTAAAACTCTTGAGAACATATATAAAACTGGATACAAACAAGGAATAGGAAGTCAGAAACATTTTAGAAATGTGTGATTAAAATAGGAAGATTTTGTAGTATTTTGAAAAGTATACGTCTAATAGGATATCTCTGATCTCACATGGGGGAGGAGATAGTCATGATACCACGAAAAATCTGTGGTCTAAAAATTTTCTAGTTAGAACCCTGCATGGTATAACGTAATCTCACTTGATTTATTCTCTGTAGTCTGATATCACAACCAGTCTGTGGTGAAAAATAAGTGAAAATAAAAATTTATGTTGTCTTAAAGAATTTTTATCGATATGGTGAACTGAATTCAACATTGTTTTTCTCTCAAACCAATTATTGAAAACATTCTGTAAAAAACACTATCCTTTATGTAATGGTCACTGATTGACAGTTTTAATAAGGACAAATACTGATAATTCTAGTGATGGCAAGTTGAAGGTAAAGTGATGGGCATACAATGTTATTTGTGTGTAAGATGTTACTAATAGGGGTATACAGATTTATCACACTTCCTATTGAATTTCAGACCATTCACATATTCGTCAAGGATACAAACATTAATTTTTCATGTTGAAACAATGAACAAGACTGACAATGCTGAAAACATCATTGGGACTCACATTTTTCAGAGCCTAATGCAAGTGCTGAACATGTGTTCAATTCAGTTCGCCATATCAATACCAATTCCTAATGATGTTTTATCTTATGCGTACGCACAGTGAGGTGAGTAAAATATCATCATCAGTTTGAAATGAAACTCTTTTATTTACTTGTTGAAAGAAAATAAATAATCAAATGCATTAGCAATGGGAAGCTACAAATTCTAGATTCAATGCATCAATATTCCAGGTATGCCATATACACAGAGGTATTATGATATCCTTAGAAAAAGAATGCAACTTCCTGTCTGGGAATACAAAGAAAAATTCAACGAGGTCCTCAGTTCCAACAAGATCATGGTGCTTGTCGGAGAAACAGGCTCTGGTAAAACCACACAGGTAAATTAGTTTACAGTTCTCTCCAGGATTGAAGGCAAATGCTGCTGCACTAGCATGAGATTTTAAAAATAGTTATGCACCCATTTGAAAATCCAATCTACGAACTTGAAAATAAAAAATTATGAAATATGGCACATATGTCCAATTTTCCAAAAACTAAAACCTAGAATAATATCATTACTCCCCCCCCCCTCTCCCCCGTTCAATTTAAATTATTTTCAATTTTTTGTATATAACATATGGATTATGGAAATGTATTTTTAAAGCCATCAATGACATTAATTTTGTGATGATATTGTCAGTTACAAATATTTATTACAGGTCATGTAGACTCCGATTGCTTGATTTATAGCAAAAACATTGACTTGTGCTCTTTGGTGGCGTTGCGCCTTTTTTAATAGTACCCACATGTGTATCAGTTAAGGAGAGAATAATGAAATTACTAACAGATTTACCCATGCAGTGAACCTATTCATTTAGTGAGTTTCTTGTGAAAAAAATAAATATTGCAGATATGTTGAATTTTCTACTCCCCATTTTTTCCGATCGCAGTGCCTGAAAGAGGTTGTAATTACAGTGATCCATTTATAGTAGAGAATATACTAACAATATATAAATAAATCATTCCATACTTGCATTATAGATTCCTCAATGGTGTCTGGAATGGGTGAGAGGTAGATTCAACAAGAAGGCAGTTGCATGTACTCAGCCACGTAGGGTAGCCGCAATGTCGGTGGCACAGCGTGTGGCTGATGAAGTTGATGTAGGTATTGGACAGGAGGTTGGATACAGTATACGTTTCGAGGATTGTACATCTTCAAAAACACAACTTAAGTAAGTCTTAAGCGAAAAAGCTATCAACCATAAATACATGCCTCATATAATAGCTCTTTCCTGTTGTTATCCTAGATGGATTTGTAAATTATATTTAAATGTATGTTTTGAATTAATGAATAAAAGGATCAAAATGAATAAGAATTGTGGATCTATATGTGTTGATAGATATATGACAGATGGTATGTTACTGAGAGAGGCCATGTCTGACCCCTTACTTGAAGCCTATGGAGTGATCTTACTCGATGAGGCTCACGAACGAACTCTGGCAACAGACATATTGATGGGTTTGATAAAGGAGGTGACAAAACAAAGAGAAGATCTCAAGATTATTATTATGAGTGCAACATTGGATGCTTCAAAATTCCAGGTATGACCTTGTAAAGTAAAGATGGAAAGATGATATAAACCAAAATAAATGATTTTGAAAACCCTGGTAATGGGGACAAATGCATTAAGAATTTCAAATGACAATGATTAAGAGAAAAGATTATCATAGATTTTTTGTACCTTGCTGAATTCTGATCAAGATATGGAAGTTTCAAGTCTAATGTATTATTTTTATAAATTTTTATCTTATTTTCTGAAGTATCTCTATGTCTTGGATGAACATAAAATTCAGTATAGATAAACTTGCTTTCAGAACTATTTTGACAATGCCCCTCTTATGAGTGTGCCAGGTAGAACACATCCTGTAGAGATCTTCTACACCCCAGAGCCAGAGAGAGACTACTTAGAGGCCTCTATCAGAACAGTTATACAGATACACATGTGTGAGGAGGTGGAAGGAGACATCCTACTCTTCCTTACAGGACAAGAGGTAACAAAAATTCATTTTATACAAGAGAAATACATCTTAAACAGCACTGGTGGGTGATGTCCCACTTTTCTTTTGCCCATTTCTGATTTTATTAGTTTTCGGGCATGATAGAAAATTTAAAGGCTGCCATTTTGGTTAGGTACAATATTGTTCACTCTGAGCCTTGTTCGCAATTGTTCAGATGTGAAGCGGGACAACTTTGTGAGAGTGACATCTTGTCACAAGTGTGTCACAGGGTACCTTAATTGTCTATTCCATTAAAGAAGTTGATCATTTTTTTGTCCGAAATAGAAGTGTTTATGCTTTATTAAAACCAAGAAAAGGTACCCAGTAGATGTACATTCCTTTTGCTTATATGAAGAAAATAATTAATTTAAATATCTATTATTAGGAAATTGACGAGGCATGTAAGAGGATACAGCGTGAGATTGACAATCTTGGGCCAGATGTTGGTGAAATGAAATGTATTCCACTATACAGTACACTGCCGCCTAACCTACAACAGAGAATCTTTGAGTCAGCTCCACCCAAACGTTCAAATGGAGCCATTGGCCGTAAATGCGTTGTGTCCACAAACATCGCTGAGACTTCTTTGACCATCGATGGTATTGTTTTTGTGATTGACCCAGGTTTTGCAAAACAAAAGGTATTGCAAAGTTTTTACAAGTCTTAAGATTAAGTATAGTTGTTTCAAGTCGTTCATTATTTAATTTTTATTATTCATTTCAATTATTTTATTGTCTGAGGAAAACTTGTTCACTGAACATATATTTTCTTTTTAGGTATACAATCCACGTATAAGAGTAGAATCATTACTCGTGTCAGCCATTAGTAAGGCCAGTGCCCAACAGAGGGCAGGTCGTGCTGGACGTACACGTCCTGGGAAATGTTTCCGATTATACACAGAAAAAGCGTACAAACAGGAAATGCAAGAGAACACATATCCTGAGATTCTTCGATCAAATCTCGGGTCCGTTGTACTGCAGTTGAAGAAACTTGGAATTGATGATCTTGTACATTTTGATTTTATGGATCCACCAGGTGAATCTTTTGAATAGTAGTAGATGATCCTGGCTATGTCTTACTCTAGAATTTGTTTTGTTCTCTTTTAAGAGTTGAAATAGTGAATTCTGTGCATAATTTCACAAGATCTTTCACAGACATTCTTTGCAAACATGGAGATTTTGTGAGTGACTGAATAGCAACTAAGCTTGTATTGTAAAACATTCGATCATTTAAATACACATTCTGTCAATGTTTTTGAAAAGAGAAAACTGGATAAGTGAAGCAAGAAATACAGTAATTATCCTACAGAACAAATTATGAGGGGGATATAGAAAAACCATCTGTATGTCTGTTCTTCGTTTCTTTGTTTATTCGTTTGTTTGTTCATTCGTCTCTTAGGGCGATAACTCAAATACCGGTTGATGGATTTGGTTTAAATTTTATAGGCTTATGCCTTATGGGTGTAAGACCTCTGCTCGAGAAGTTATTTCAAAATGGCCATTCAATTCAAATGGCCACCATTTTTCATAAAAAATGTAATCTTTGATAACTCAAATACTATTTCACGGACATGGTTCAAATTGTATATGCTGATGCCTAGGGACAAAGGAGCTTTTCTCAAGAAGAGATTTTCAAGATGGCTGCTGATTTTCAAAATGGCCGCCATTTTTTCATTAAAAAAACATAATATTTGATTACTCAAATACCATTGGACAGATTTTGTTCAATTTTTATATGCTGATGCCTATGGACAAAGGAGCACTGCTCAAGAAGGAATTCTCAAGAAGCGATTTTCAAGATGGGTGTTGAATTTCAAAATTGCCACCCTTTTTCATAAAAAACTTATTTTTGATAAGACGGATATCAGTGGACAGATTTTGTTCAAATTTAAATGCTGATGCCTTAGGGACAAAGCTTTGCTTGAGAAGAAATTTTCAAGATGACAGCTGAATTTCAAAATGGCCACCATTTTTCGTACCACATTTAGAAAATCTCAATTAATAAAAATTTAAATGAAATCATTTTCCAGCACCTGAGACTCTGATGAGAGCCCTTGAACTGTTGAACTACCTTGCATCATTAGATGACGATGGAGAGCTAACAGAGCTTGGTTCCATGATGGCTGAATTCCCCCTAGATCCACAGCTTGCTAAAATGGTGATTGCAAGTTGTGATGCATCATGCTCCAATGAAATACTCTCAATCACAGCAATGTTGTCAGGTGAGTGTTGCCATGGCGATCGTCCTATGCAGATGCATTTAAAATGTCATGATTGTCTTCTTATTGAAATAGAAAATAGAGTGGAATTAACAAGAAATAAAGTGAAAATAATCGCACTTCATTCCAAGTTTAGAGAGAAATCACATGGAATTGGCATGACCAGAAAGAAATGTACATGTATGATGAGGTTAATATAATAACCCAACAACTCTTCTGTGATGTTTCCAGATCTAAAGAACACCCTTGAAAATCAATTAATGAAATTATTATTAATTATTTTTCAGAAATTGCTTTAACAATTTTGGCTGCAGAATATTTTTTAAAACTTATAATCTAGTTACAGATTTTTCTTCCAATTTTTATAAGTTAACAAAAATGAACAATTAGATTCTTTAATGAAACCATATTGAAAATTATGTATTTAACTTTGAAAGTGCATTAAAAGGGCACATTTTTAAACATGAAAACAGATTATCAGTTAAATTGAACAACTAAGAGATTTAAAAAGGACATCAACTAACGTATAACAGATAGCCTCTCACCTATAGAGGGCGCTGTCTGAAACAGCAGCTGTTTTTTAGTATACATTGAGACTAATCACCGGTGGAATGGTTGCCCCCTCTGGTGGGCGCCCCCTACCGTCCTGCACTTCAGTACCCCAGTGCTTTGTAAGACCAACTGAAGCGAAGAAAGCCGCTGACGAAGCCAAAATGAGATTTGCCCACATTGATGGTGATCATCTGACCCTACTCAATGTCTACCATGCTTTCAAGCAAAGTAAGTTAATCATGAGAAATTCATATTTTCCTTTTGAAAATTATGACTCAAGTTTTTGGTCAGAATTCTTTCAGGCGGCTTTGCATATTGGAATTTTTCATGTTGATATTTGAAAATCTCAGCTATGCGCAATTAACACAAGTCTTATACATATGTGTTCCGAATATTTCAAAACATGAGCATGTCAATTGTTACCCTAAAACTGTACCTTCTAATTCTTATTTATTTGCACTTTGATAGATTTACCTAGTTATTCGTTGATAAACATAATAGATGATAAAATTCTATCTGCAGATCATGAAGACCCACAATGGTGTTACGACAACTTCGTCAACTTCCGTTCTCTGAAGAGTGCTGACAATGTGCGCCAACAGCTGGCTAGGATCATGGATAGGTTTAATCTGAAGCGCACAAGCACAGACTTTACCAGTCGAGACTACTACATCAACATTAGACGAGCACTTGTTTCCGGCTTCTTCATGCAGGTTGGTGTATATTTTGTGAATAAATGAGATAACTGAAAACTTGTAAACAACATCAATTTATTTTCAATAATCTAATAGATCATAGACTATGCATGGTGGCCTTTTTTAAGCCTGTTTTGGGTTACCCACCTATCTCAGGTTACGCATTGGCCTACATCAAGTCAACCACCTTTGTCTATATCACTATCATTGGTGACAGTGCAGGGCTGGTTGAAACATTTGGTCATATTACATCAAGGTTTCTATTAATCCCTTCCTCATGATTTCTCCAGTCATAATCTTTATATTCCAAAACCGCAACAGGGGAGGAAGGTGTAGAACCAGGCCCCTTAAAACATTGTCTTGCTATAGAGCCTGTCCACAGCTAGAGGCTTGTTCCTCCATGAATCTTAGGGTTAACATCAGCAAACTTGGTACAAGCAGCCCTACTTCCTACATAGGAGATCACATGAATTGAAGTCAGAATGTCATTTTTTTATTTCTTGGTAATATATGGTCATTGCAAACTATGGGTTCCTGACATCATATACTGTACAGCTATTCTTAAGTCAAGGTCATCTTAAAGGTTAATGTTAATCCAGTTATGTACCAACATATTGCAGTACTGTTCGCTAAAGATATTACCGAACAGAATTTTTTGGAACACTGTCAGTTTTTTTATCTTGCTTCAGTTAGGAATATTTTTGGTTTATTTAGGATGTTGAACCTGGAAATTAGTTAATGAGAAAAGTGTGTCATCTGTATGAATCATGATGAAATCATTCATAGTAAAACATAGTTCACATTGCAGGCTGTATGAATCAGGATGAAATCATTCATAGTAAAACATAGTTCACATTTCAGGCTGTATGAATCATGATGAAATCATCCATAGTATAACATAGTGCACATTGCAGGCTGTATGAATCATGATGAAATCTTCCATAGTATAACATAGTTCACATTGCAGGCTGTATGAATCATGATGAAATCATTTATAGTAAAACATAGTTCACATTGCAGGCTGTATGAATCAGGATGAAATCTTCCATAGTATAACATAGTTCACATTTCAGGCTGTATGAATCATGATGAAATCATCCATAGTATAACATAGTTCACATTGCAGGCTGTATGAATCATGATGAAATCATCCATAGTATAACATAGTTCACATTGCAGGCTGTATGAATCATGATGAAATCATCCATAACATAGTGCACATTGCAGGCTGTATGAATCATGATGAAATCATCCATAGTATAACATAGTGCACATTTCAGGCTGTATGAATCATGATTAAAATCTTCCATAGTATAACACAGTTCAAATTTCAGGCTGTATGAATCATGATGTAATCATTTATAGTAAAACATAGTTCAGATTGCAGGCTGTATGAATCAGGATGAAATCTTCCATAGTATAACATAGTTCACATTGCAGGCTGTATGAATCATGATGAAATCATTCATAGTATAACATAGTTCACATTGCAGGCTGTATGAATCATGATGAAATCTTCCATAGTATAACATAGTTCACATTGCAGGCTGTATGAATCAGGATGAAATCATTCATAGTAGAACATAGTTCACATTTCAGGCTGTATGAATCATGATGAAATCATCCATAGTATAACATAATTCACATTGCAGGCTGTATGAATCAGGATGAAATCTTCCATAGTATAACATAGTTCACATTGCAGGCTGTATGAATCAGGATGAAATCATTCATAGTAGAACATAGTTCACATTTCAGGCTGTATGAATCATGATGAAATCATCCATAGTATAACATAATTCACATTGCAGGCTGTATGAATCAGGATGAAATCTTCCATAGTATAACATAGTTCACATTGCAGGCTGTATGAATCAGGATGAAATCATCCATAGTATAACATAGTTCACATTGCAGGCTGTATGAATCATGATGAAATCATTTATAGTATAACATAGTTCACATTGCAGGCTGTATGAATCATGATGAAATCATCCATAGTATAACATAGTGCACATTGCAGGCTGTATGAATCATGATGAAATCATTCATAGTATAACATAGTTCACATTGCAGGCTGTATGAATCATGATGAAATCATCCATAGTATAACATAGTGCACATTGCAGGCTGTATGAATCATGATGAAATCATCCATAGTATAACATAGTGCACATTTCAGGCTGTATGAATCATGATTAAAATCTTCCATAGTATAACACAGTTCAAATTGCAGGCTGTATGAATCATGATGTAATCATTTATAGTAAAACATAGTTCACATTGCAGGCTGTATGAATCAGGATGAAATCTTCCATAGTATAACATAGTTCACATTGCAGGCTGTATGAATCATGATGAAATCATTCATAGTATAACATAGTTCACATTGCAGGCTGTATGAATCATGATGAAATCATTTATAGTAAAACATAGTTCACATTTCAGGCTGTATGAATCAGGATGAAATCATTCATAGTAAAACATAGTTCACATTTCAGGCTGTATGAATCATGGTGAAATCATCCATAGTATAACATAGTGCACATTGCAGGCTGTATGAATCATGATGAAATCTTCCATACTATAACATAGTTCACATTGCAGGCTGTATGAATCATGATGAAATCATTTATAGTAAAACATAGTTCACATTGCAGGCTGTATGCATCAGGATGAAATCATTCATAGTAAAACATAGTTCACATTTCAGGCTGTATGAATCATGATGAAATCTTCCATAGTATGACATAGTGCACATTGCAGGCTGTATGAATCATGATGAAATCTTCCATAGTATAACATAGTTCACATTGCAGGCTGTATGAATCAGGATGAAATCATTCATAGTAGAACATAGTTCACATTTCAGGCTGTATGAATCATGATGAAATCATCCATAGTATAACATAATTCACATTGCAGGCTGTATGAATCAGGATGAAATCTTCCATAGTATAACATAGTTCACATTGCAGGCTGTATGAATCAGGATGAAATCATCTATAGTATAACATAGTTCACATTGCAGGCTGTATGAATCATGATGAAATCATTTATAGTATTACATAGTTCACATTGCAGGCTGTATGAATCATGATGAAATCATCCATAGTATAACATAGTGCACATTGCAGGCTGTATGAATCATGATGAAATCATCCATAGTATAACATAGTTGACATTGCAGGCTGTATGAATCAGGATGAAATCATTCATAGTAAAACATAGTTCACATTTCAGGCTGTATGAATCATGATGAAATCATTCATAGTATAACATAGTTCACATTGCAGGCTCTATGAATCATGATGTAATCATTTATAGTAAAACATAGTTCACATTGCAGGCTGTATGAATCAGGATGAAATCATTCATAGTAAAACATAGTTCACATTTCAGGCTGTATGAATCATGATGAAATCATCCATAGTATAACATAGTGCACATTGCAGGCTGTATGAATCATGATGAAATCTTCCATAGTATAACACAGTTCACATTGCAGGCTGTATGAATCAGGATGAAATCATTCATAGTAAAACATAGTTCACATTTCAGGCTGTATGAATCATGATGAAATCATCCATAGTATAACATAATTCACATTGCAGGCTGTATGAATCAGGATGAAATCTTCCATAGTATAACATAGTTCACATTGCAGGCTGTATGAATCAGGATGAAATCATTCATAGTAAAACATAGTTCACATGTCAGGCTGTATGAATCATGATGAAATCATCCATAGTATAACATAGTGCACATTGCAGGCTGTATGAATCATGATGAAATCTTCCATAGTATAACATAGTTCACATTTCAGGCTGTATGAATCATGATGAAATCTTCCATAGTATAACATAGTTCACATTGCAGGCTGTATGAATCATGATGAAATCATCCATAGTATAACATAGTTCACATTGCAGGCTGTATGAATCAGGATGAAATCATTCATAGTAAAACATAGTGCACATTTCAGGCCGTGTGAATCATGATGAAATCATTCATAGTATAACATAGTTCACATTGCAGGCTGTATGAATCATGATGAAATCATCCATAGTATAACATAGTTCACATTGCAGGCTGTATGAATCATGATGAAATCATCCATAGTAAAACATAGTGCACATTTCAGGCTGTATGAATCATGATGAAATCATCCATAGTATAACATAGTTCACATTGCAGGCTGTATGAATCAGGATGAAATCATTCATAGTAAAACATAGTTCACATTGCAGGCTGTATGAATCATAATGAAATCATCCATATTATAAAACAGTGCACATTGCAGGCTGTATGAATCATGGTGAAATCTTCCATAGTATAACATAGTTCACATTGCAGGCTGTATGAATCATGATGAGATCATCCATAGTATAACATAGTGCACATTGCAGGCTGTATGAATCATGATGAAATCATCCATAGTATAACATAGTTCACATTGCAGGCTGTATGAATCATGATGAAATCATTTATAGTATAACATAGAGCACATTGCAGGCTGTATGAATCATGATGAAATCATCCATAGTGTAACAAAGTGCACATTGCAGGCTGTATGATCTTGTTTCAGCTACACATGCTCCACATATTTTCTGATGAATAACCTGATATACACTTGATACAGTCATTCCAGATAGTACGTTTAAATTACGTTATAGGTACCATCTTAATTGATTTGAATACTTCTTAATTTATGACAGTGCTACCAAATAAAATGTTTTTCTACCTTAAAGTACAGACATTAGGGCACTGATACTTATCAGGAGGATTAATGATTGGTGGCTTTCTTGAACTTTTTTGCTCAATTACAAATGTTTTATATGTTTGTCCTTAAAATTGTAATTTCCATAATGTTTGTCAGTCATTCAATCATTAATTGTAAATCTTTTGTGACCATTGCCTCGGTTTAATACTTTTTAGCAGAGCAAAGGAGTATATCTCTGCATTGTTAAACACTAATATTGGATACTGTCATGGTTATCTATTTGTAAAAAAACAAT